AATAAAAGCCATCTGTGGGAAAGCTCTAATGGTTGAAGAACTTGATAAACTACAAGATCGAGTCGCCTTGACTTTATGCAACTTGGAGAAGATATTTTTGCCTTCATTCTTCACAATTATGGTGCATCTGCTAATTCATCTTCCTCACCAAGCAAGAGTTGGTGGACCAGTTTTCTATCGATGGATGTACCCTATAGAGAGGTGTTAATTGAATTACACGTTTCAAATTACTACTGATTATACCTTTTAATAAAATGTATTTATGTAGTATGTTGTTTTGTGTATAGGTTCTTGGGCAAGTTGAAGTCTTATTGTCGTAATAAACGTTATCCGGAAGGATCAATTGCTGAAGGGTATTTAGCAGAGGAATGTATGACATTTTGCTCTAGATATTTGGAAGATGTTGAAACAAGATGGAATAGACCAAATCGAAATGATGTGTTAAGTACTGATGACTTACCTCAAGATTATTTGTTTGGAAGTTACGGTCAACCATTAAGGAAAGTTGAAATTGCACACTTAGATGACACGTCTTGGGTACAAGCACACCGATATGTTCTTTTCCATCACGATTCAATAGATCCCTTTCGCACGTAAGTCTTTCGGACCCAATCCTAATGAAATATCTTAATCTTTTCTATTTATCAATTTTTAACGATATAATATACTTTATAGTGAGTTTAAAGAAGTCTTGAGATCTCGTGCACGCTCCCGAAGATTAAATCAGCGAGACCTGCATAAGTTATTCACAGAAACTTTTCATGAATGGTTAGGTCAGACGGTAAGCAACTAAATCTTACGGAATACTTATAAATAATATATATCTTGTTTGTTCAATGCAAATTAATTCACCATTAATGTGTAATAGGTTTGGAGTGGGAGAGAAGTTAGTGAAGATGTTAAATGGCTTTCTCAAGGTCCGAATAGAATAGTTAAAAGATATAATGCCTTTATCATTAATGGGTTCAGGTTCCACACGAAATCTCATGAAAGATTAAGGAGGACACAAAATTATGGAGTCATAGTTACTTCGTCAACTACAAGTTATGCTACTGTAAGGGACAATAATCCGCAGGACGGAGAGGTCGATTATTATGGAAATCTTATGGACATTATTGAGTTAGATTATTATGGAAAATGAAAGGTTGTGTTGTTTCGGTGTGACTGGGTTGATGTAAACAGATGCATAAAAACAGATAAATTCGGGTTTACAATGGTTAATTTCTCTCGATTAATTCACACAGGTCAACGTTTGATGGATGAACCATATGTATTTTCTTCTTAAGTGAAACAAATATTTTATTGTCACGATCCAATGGATGACAGTTGGTATATTGTGCTCCGAAATACTCCCATAGACTTGATAGATATCAGGGATGGAAGTAGAGATGACATTGAAACAAGATCAGAATGTTTACCTCTACTACCACAAAACTTAGATGAAACTATCACTAATACAACACAATTTCAATGGGTTCGGGAGGATGTTGATGAAGATATTTATGACACCTAACATTACATAAGAATGTCGTATGCTTTTATATCTTCATTTATTTATTTATAATGTTATAACTATTAATATGTTGTCCTTCAATATATTCATTACTTAATTCATTTTTTATTACTCATGTTTGTTTATTATAGATAGCATGCCGAGGAGAAAAATAACTGATTTGCGGCTTGTTCGAGCTTCTGAAGATCATGAAGAAAGAAATAACGAGGAATCGAATGCACTTGACTCTTCCGAAGTTCCTGAAACTGTTGAAGAAGTAGTAGAAATTCAAGGTAATCTTCGAAACATTATTTACTACTTTGTTCATTTTCAAAACTGTCATTTAATAATTTATTATATAGTTGAAAATGCTGGAACACGCAAGACTCTAGGACGTACAACTTTGAAGGAATTATACCAACTTCCTCTTGGGCATCGTGTCAAAGTTTCAAGAAATGATGTCGGTCAACCTATTGGCCCAGAATCACGTCTTCTAGCAGGTTACTTAGGCATAGTTGGACGTAATGTGAATCTGTTACCGATCAATTACGAGTCATGGCATGAAATGCCTAATAGTAACAAAAATCAGGCGTTGGATTTTGTTAAAGTAATAATGTCATTATTATTATATACTCTATAGAAATTCAATACTAATGTATACTTACGGTGCACACTTATTTACTGTATAGGAGAAATTTTCTTTAGAGGTCTCTGATGATTATGTTAAGCAAGCGTTAGGGAAGAGATTGAGGGACCACAAGAGCTCCTTAAAGAAGAAATACTTCAAGAATGATCTCAGCCTTGAAGAGAAGTTGCAAACAGTCCCACCAGGAATGCTCAGGTACCAATGGGAAGATGCAGTCAGATTTTGGAGTTCAAAAAAAGGACAGGTATGATGTATTTTTCAGAAATAATTGTAACGAATTGTAAATCATCATTAAAAGTGGTTGTTTGACATTGTAGGACCGAGAGCATGTTGGTGTTGCTAGCAGACAACAACAAAAGTTTACGCACAAGGCTGGATCAAATAGCTTTGCTTGTATAGCTCATGAGGAGGTATTAAAGATTATTGAAATAGTTTTTTGTATTCCATGTACATACTAACTCATAGTAATTATATTATGGTACATTGTAGGAAAATACATCCGGTTCTAAAGTTGGCCGAATACAACTCTTCGACATGACACATACGAAGAAGGATGGCACTCCTATGACTGCTGACGTTGCAGAAATTATGGTACGTTTATTGGGTAGATGTTTTAAATTTACCTGACTTTATTTTTATTTGTACCATGACATTTTTTATTTTAATTAATTATTCACTTTATTATTAGCAAAAATTGAGGGAGAAAAAGGCGGAGCATCATGCTACCGCTTCGAGTCAAGGTATTGTTAATGATGATGACATTGAAAATCAAGCTATTAATGACGTTTTGGGTCCTGAAAGATTTGGTCGGGTGCGCTGTCAAGGATCATTCGTTACTCCCACCAAATATTTTGGATCCAGCTCATCACAGTACATGTCATCACAGTCTCGATCTTCTCACCACGAAGTTAGTCGTTTAAAAGAAAAGTTGGCTGAGATGGATCAACAAATGACTAACTTGAAAGCGGAAAATGAAGCAAGGGAAGCAGAGAGAGCTGCAGAGAAAGAAGCAGCGGCATCACAGAGAGAAGCAGCGGCAGCACAGAGAGAAGCAACATATCAGCAGAGATGTGAAGAATTTGAAAAACGACTTAATGATACAGAAAACGCAACCTCAGCATCCACCATCGTAGTCTCATTTATGTTATAAGCATTCTGTTAATGTTACTGAACCTTGTTTAACTGAACTTATATTACGTTAATGAAAACTTTTATTTATTAGATTGGATTTGATGATGTTTGTTATGGATATAGAGTTTGATGTTATTGTTGTTTTTGTTTGTTAGATAATGGAACAGGTTGAAAAAACATATTTGGGGGTAATCAAGCATTATTTTTATGTAAAATTTTGTGTTATTTAGCGGCGTTTGTTAAAAAAAGGCCTCAATATACCATACATTTAGCGGTGCATTGTATGCTATAAACACCGCGATATACCGAACTTTAGCGGCGTTTTTATAAAAAAACACCACTAAAGCTCAACACCTATTGCGGCGTTTTTTGAAAAATCGCCGCAAAATATCAACACCTACTGCTGCGTTTGTAGGAAAAACGCCGCTAAATATCAAAACCTACTGCAGCGTTTGTAGGGAAAACGCCGCTAAACATCAAAACCTATTGCGGCGTTTTTGTGACAAACGCCGCTAAATAACAACACCTATTGCGGTTTTTTTGTTAAAAAACGCCGCTAACTTTAGCGGCGCTATTTTCAGCGCGCTTTTTGCGGCGTTTTAAAAAACGCCGCATGTGTATTTAGCGGCGCTTAAAAACGCCGCTATATGTAAAAAAACGCTTATTTTGCCGTAGTGACTCTTATATTCAACATTAACTAAATAATAATTTTTATATCTGCCGGTAGGGTTTTAGTTTTCTCCGGGTTTTTCGGTTTCTAGTGTTCTCACGTGTCTCACGTTAAGGTTTGCATGGCTGACCCTCCTCGGCCAGTAGCGATATTGGTTGAGGTCTCTGGGCTGGCGCCTGCTGTGCATCAAGTCTCGCTTGGAGTTGATGTGACTCAGCCAGAGGTAAGAAGAACTTTGCATGTTGTAAGTGATGGTGCCCTAGTTTCTAACGAAATAGTTGACGTTGGTTTTAGTAATGTGGTTGTGCAAATGGAAGAGGATGGGATTTCTAAAGGAAGAGGTTTGTCGACTCTAACTGGGGCTATGATCCAATCGCTTTCGTATGTTGCAACAGTTAAAGGAAGTAGTGAACAGACTATGAGAGAGATGACGGGTTTTGCCAATAAGGATGTGGAGATTCAGAAGGTGACGTCGTTATTGATCGCAGAGGTTCATATCCCGTTATCATGCTTTCAAACGGGATGCGATGGCGAAACTGGCTTGGGGGTTACCTTTTGGGACACACAACCAGGCGGCTCCGGTGGGCATTGAGAGTTTGGTAGCTGATGACCAACCAGTCTGGAGAATGCAATGGGAGTAACGATGGTAGCTAATGGAGTATAAGAGGTCCTGCTGTTCGAGCGCCGGGGTGTAAGCATGGAAGCCACTGTTTACTCCTTTCTTCCCTTACATTAAAAAAAATTAACTAAACAATTTATATATACGATAAAATATAAATTGATCAAATAAAAAATATAATATAATGGCACATATTATTCAACTGACCATAAATCATATTACACGTAAATTATGAATATAATTTTATGTTGTTCTTTGATCTTACGAGTTTAATAATTTTTTATCATCCTAGTCTTATTTACAACTCTGGTATGATTATATGTACTAAATTCAATCCTAATAATCGAATTATTGATCCAGCGAAGCTGCCAAAGAGAGTAATTTACAAACATTAAAAGTTTTCCTTCAATGGCATCACTCTGTAAATTTATAAAAAGAAAAATGATCTTAAAACTTTCACCTGCGTTTTATTCATCACCCAAAAAAAAGACAATGCCTTCCTGACCCCCAGCATTTTGCTCATAGCGAGTAAACGTTCAGCCGGATCACAGGTGAAAGGGGTGCAGGAGGTACATATCACGAAAAAAAAACTCCTCCGTGGGTACGGATTAACAAAAGAGAGTTAAAAGACAACAAAATGACAGATAAAATCTGTTTAATCATCCTGTGAAGTTTTCAAAGAAATCTGCAAAGAATGTGGCGAATCTGCCTGCTCATTGGGATCATCGGAATTCTTTGTCTCCGTGTTCTGATGTTTCTTGCTCACGGGGTTGGTGTTCCGAGCCCAATCAGGAAGCTTTGATTGCAGAGGAGTATCAGACAAATGGTTTGTTGGTGACATTCTTTGATATGCTAGTGCAGATGAATTGAACACAGATAAAGGAAGGCTTAGACCATAATTATAAGGATATCCCACATAAGGATGATCAAATCTGCAAGTCGGCCCATATTTGCAGAGCCCGTACATAGTGTAGCTAGAACATACAGCTTGCCCCTACATGTCGAAGAACACGAAATAATTAAACTATTTTGAAAAAAGAAGTATATTTATAAATATATTATATATGGCAACCAAACCAATAATACGATTGATGAAATTGAGCTGACTCAACCTGGTGAATACCTAGTTAAATACCTGACCATGTGAAAAATAGACAGTAAACTTACAGGTCTTGAAGGAAGCCAGAGTGGACCCATTCCATTTATAACTGAATTTGCAATCCTTTCCTTTGGATGATGGTACTTGCAATCAGATCCATATTTGCAAGTGCCGGTGTTCATATAATACAGACATTCTGGTTGATCAGGTCTTTCAGGAAAATTTGAAGCAGACATTGATGATGACAAGAGCAGCTGTCCAGTAGAAGCTGACTCTGCTGGATTCACTGAGTTGTAAGCCAAACTGGATCCAACAATGCCAGAAGAAGATACAGGGTTCGTAGTTCCCTGATCATAATAAAATAAGGGAATAAGAAAAAAATGAGAGGGGAAAAAAAGAAATTCTAATTGACAAGAGTCGCATATCAAAAGATCGGAATAGCAAAAACATGTTGCATAAGGGATTATAGTCACAGGATGCTGTTGAATACTTAATGTAAGGCAATACATAGCATATAGGTCCAATATACAAGGATATCGGAAAGTAGCAGCCGTTAACATACCACTTCAAAGTTTAAAGAATCCAAAGACATGACAAACTTTAGATCGACTGGCAGTAATATTTTCATACTTGGAAAAAGGACAAGTGCCATCATCCAAATGAAGAAAAAGAAAGAGAAAGAAATACATTCTTTTTTTAATAATGAACATAAATAATAATAATAAGCTTTTCAGATTCACTTAGCAAGCCACTCAGACAGCAACTGAACAAAAATGAAGACATCCAAAGTGACTAAAAGCTGTGCTTATGAAAGAGAGAATAATTAGTTCGATAGTAAATGGATTTTGCATATATGAATGAGTCAAGACTTTTGTCATTTTATCATAGTATCTCCAATGACAGTCACCTCCGATGCGAACTAGTCAGTGAAGAACCATTCATAAGTCAACCATTTGAAAAGAGCACTGTCAAATGTTACAGAAATGTAGTAAGTATGCAATCAAATCATGAACATAGAAATGACAATTACCATATTAAAACCAGGAAATTGAAAATTATGCACATCTTAAGTCTCCAAGTACAGAAATAATAAAATGTTGTCAGCAAATAAGAAGAAACAGCACATCATGTGTTTTTTCTAAACAAAATGCAGTACTGCAGAAAACCCTTGGGAAGGAGACACAAACATCACAAATTTAGCACAGTTAAATGAAAACACATCATGTGTTTTTTCAAATGCAGTACTGCATGTGGTAAAGTTGAGTTCACAAACCACATTGTAAATCAAGATTGAAACTTTATTATTTAAAATGCCAATTTCTTGCACAGTTAAATGAAAACACAAACATCACAAATTTAGCATAGTAGAGGTAAAGTGAAAGAAAATTTCATACCAAAATATATCGTAGCTAGAAATTCAGATAGATAGTACTCAATATATGAGGTATTCACTTACCAAGTAGGTGCTCCTCCAGCCAGGTGCAGGTATCATGCTTTGGGAAGGAGACACAAAAACAGGCATGTAGCTTTGGCTTTGTAAACGTTGGCCAGAGACATAAGGTGCCCTAGGTAATGACCATGTGGGTAAACCACCAGCATACGGCACACCTGAGGGTGCCAAAATTGTTGATCCAGCAGGTCCATTTACAGGTAAGCCAGCTCCAGGTGATGCAGGCTGGGGATGATGGAACTTGCATGCAATTCCAAACTTGCATGATCCAGTCCGCATGTAAAAAGGACATGATTTTTCATCCTGAAAAATAGAGAACCAGCATGAGACGACACATTGTCAAGTAGGCACATCAAAGAAGAGTAAAATAAATCACCTGACGCATAGGCAGACCAAGAATGTTAAAGATAACTGCTCCAGCACCATTCCTGTCCTTTGGATGATGATATTTACATGTTGATCCGTATTTGCAAGTTCCTGTCTTTATAAAGTACTGCAAAGACAGATCAAATAGTATTTCGAAATTAGAAAGCTTTCCACAAAAAATACTTTAGATAAGACCAAATCAACCATGATCTCGAGCCACACAACAGTTTTATGTAGAAAAAAGACATGCATAACTTCACTGGGTTAAAAGGAAACATAAGCACAGTGATCCTGGAGCCTGCAGCCAGCACGTGAAACAGTAGCGGTATACAAGCACCACAAAATCGACAACCAGAAACAACAGCTAAACCATGACTGGCCTGACCAGAAAATTGCATTTTGCCATACACCAAATTAACATGCTTGCACATACTGTTACAACTCATGTCTGCTATGTATCATGGCATTCGGTATTCATTTCCCAAAAAATTGTTTCTAATTAAATAACATCTATATCCATAGCAAATCCTCATTATATGGTTTTCCTTCTATCAGCAAGAATTGATATACCACAGCAGCTAATGATAATAGAGAACATCTCCGGAAAAGGCAACTTTGTAAAGTATATAGTAATCCATTAATCTTAAATTAGTTGATAGAAGTATTCATACCCCACAGTCTGGCCGTCCAGCTCTTTCAGGGAGTTGTTCTCTATATTGGCCAACCTGCACCAAACACCAACAAAATTAACAACTACAACCGCAGAGTAACTTTTTGTATATCTTAAAATCAAGAATCTGAATCCACTCATTTTACATCTTTAAATGATCAATCGCTTATACAAAAACTTGAATACCTGAACACCAAATGTCGGATGATTAAAACGACAGTTATTTCCATAGCCACATACTCCAGTCCTTAAATAGTACGAACAATCCGGTTCACCGGGACGATCAGGATACGAGGATGATTTAGAAATACCCGTCTCTTGATTATTATCATTAATTTTCAGCCGCGAAATTTCTTCTGAAACGGTAAGGAAAGACGGGGAAATTAGCCAAAACTATGATCTCTCAAGAGGGGAAAAATGTCTTGATCATCAACAGAATGGGAAAAAACACAAAATCTATTACTACAGTAATTTTTGAGGAAAAAAACAATGTTTTAGATGCTTAAAAAACTATAGAAAGCTCTAAACAAGACTTTCCTTTTTCAAAAGAATTAAAAACAAGGATCAAAATGAAGAATGATCACAAAGAAAATGTTCTCGAAAGGGAAAAATTACTAAATTAGAAAACATAGGAAATATATAAAGAGGCATCAGATCTTCCTATAATTTTAAGTAACAATGGAATTGTAGAAAGAATCGGGTGGTACCCCCAATGTTATCAGCAGATTGATTCGAGACGCCATTGTTCTGAACTTGTCGATTATCCGGCATCGGTTTGATGGCAGAGAATTTTACGAATCGCTTCTTCCTTTCCGATCAAACAATCAACAACAGAAAAAAAACAAGATAACTTCAAATTCTACGCATAAATCAAAGCAATTTTTCTGAATTTCAAAAAATGAGATGGACTTAAGTAAGATTACGTAGATCAAGAGGAAAAAGAGAGAAATCTTCTTCTTCTTCGTCTTCTTCTTCTTCTTCTTCTTTTCCTTGTGGAATAAGGAAGAGATTATAAAGAATAAAAAGGTGAAATCATAGAAAATATTCCAATTCGATTTTTTTTCTAGTCATGTAAGTGGAAATTTAGGATTTTCATATTTGTGTGTGTTTTTGAAAGGATTCCAAGCAAGCTTCACAATGACAAACTTTCTTTCAGTTAGCCAATTAAAAGACATTATTACCCTGGGAAGGCGGAAGTGCAACTACCCCTTTTTCAGTTATTAATGTTATTATCCGTGAATTTTGGTTTGTTGTTGGAAAATGAAAACCAAGGCACGGGTTGGGTTTAATTCGCATCTAAATTAGTGAAAATAAAATAAACAAGGATAGAAATTTGGATAAGAAAAACATATGTTATTTAAAAAGTTAACTTTAGTTACTTAATTTGAACTTAGATGAAATTTTTTGAATAATTTAAGTACCTATTTTGATATAAAATACTTTAAATGTCTATTTTGACCAAAAAGATAACTTTAAGTACTAAATTTGATCAAAAATACTTTAAGTACTTAAAAGAAAACAAAAGTATACTTTAAGTACCGATTTGTGATTAAAAAAAACCTTTTGAGAATGATGTCTATTTTGATCATATAAGGTATATGTATACTCTCATGACAACTTTTTTTTACAGTTAATAACTTGTAAACGAAAATTTTCTATATAGAAAATATAAGTAATTTTAAAAATTAAATTTACCTTGACATGGTTTTGATAAATTAAAATAAAGTAATTAATTTTTTTAAAATTTTTAAATAGATATATAAAATTTCGTAATTAAAAATAAAATGTTAATTCCAAATGCATAATTTCTCTTTTGTATAAGGGAACTTTAGGGGATGGTAATTTCATATTTTATTAATCTATTTTTATTTATCGTGTTGTTTTTAAAGGCTTAAATATAAAATGAGTGTTCAAACTATAATATTTTTCACAAATAGATGTCTAAATTAATTTTTGAATGATTATAATGTTTAACGTTACAAACGTTATCATTTTAGGTGTCCATGTTGTCAACGAAGTTAATTTTCTTCATTAAGTGTAGGATGACAGACGGGTACAATTTCATAGATTTTGCACCATGCCCATTCCAATTGAAGCGGAGATATATATAAGTTTAGTGGGTAGTGGGGGCAGATGTTGATGTAAAAAGGCATACACAATGTAAGCAGTGGGTAGGTGATGGTTTGAGGTATCACCCTCCCCGCATCCGCTCACCCCACGTCTGTCCGTCTCACATACACCCGCCCCTAACTATTCACCATATAAATTTTAATCATTATGAATTTAAGTATAATTTCAGAGATAATTATATAAATCCTAAGATTTTATAGAGCATGATTTGTAATTTAACCAAATGTTAGGGTATAAACATTTATAGAATTAAAGATCATCGATTATGTAATATGTGAGGTTGCTATCAGACGGGTATGGATGGGTAGAGGCGGGTACGAGATGGTGGTAGGTATCTAATCAGATAGTGGGTGTGGGGTGGATTTAAGAATGTACTCGAATGGGCGGGTGTGGATTTAAAAATATTACTCGTTGTGGGTGGGATGAATACGAAAATTTTAGGTGGGCATGGAGATAGAGGAACGGGTATCCACACCCGCCCCACCCATTTGCCATTACTAGTTAACTGACATATGTCACAATCTTTTAATTTTGGAATTTATTTTTTAAATATTAAAAACACTATTATATTTATTAAAAGAACCGTAATTTCTATTAAATTAAAAAAAACACTGAAGCTTAAATCCTAATCCTAACATTCGTCGCCGCCCTTTCTTGCCACAATCTCCGTTGTAGATGTAGTCTCTGTTGTCCTCTTAATCATACGTCGTTATATTTGTCACTGATTGGTCGTTGGAATCGTGTGGGATCATAATTTTTATACTTGAGTCCGCGGGATATAAAACGTCAATTGATCACTATTTTATAGGGGTTTTGGTCGTCGGGGACAGTGAGGTCAGATGGAGCTTCGTCGATGGAAAAAGACAGCGGTCGACGTGACTTTATGGGTTGAAATGAAGATTTTTAAAGTTTTAGGGTTATTTTGAAATTTACGTGTTTTTTAAATATATATATTTTTATTTTTTTAATTATAAATAAAAATTTCAAAATTATCCGACTGTGACACATGTAATTTAACGGATAAAATTAACGTCGTTGACGGTCTGGATACCTAAAGTAATAACATTTATAACGTTAGTCACTAGAATAATATAAAAAATAGTTTAAACAACATTCGTTTAAAGCGTTATAGTTCGAACACTTATTTTATAATTAATTTTTAAAAAATATATAAAATGATAGAAACTGTCCAAGAGGACGAGGGCATCGGTGTCTTTCTCGTTTTCAATAGATATAAGCAAATAAACGTGAAATTTAGGGCATTTTTCGTTCAAATTTTATTTTTTAAAATCCTCATCAACATAAAGGAAACACGAAGAAGAAATCGTCATCAGAATCAAAACGAGGGAACTTAGGAGGCGTTGACGAGGTGTGTACCGGTAGATTTGAATCTGGCTGGGAATCAATGGGAAAAAGGCTTTGAGCAAATGTTTATTCCTGATGACGAAATTAGCCATTGTTACATACACGCATGATGCAATCAATGTTACATGAAATTGTTGTTAGATGACCATAATCGTCTTTCCATGCCTTTATCTTCTTTTTTTAACTCGATTAAACCATAAGCGAAATATTATATAAATACATTCATTTATTTCTTCATATGAAGAAAATACGAAATGCGACTAATCGTCGACGCAATTAGATTTTCTACGAGTGGGACCCGTTCACGCGCCATTTACACAAGAATAAATAAATAAAACATAGAGATATTAGAGATTCTTGTAATTTAGAAAAATTAAGGTGGTTTTTATATTATTTTTTAATGAGATTATTTAATTTAAAAAATAAATTCAATGTGATTCTTTGATTAATTTATTTTTTATTCTTGATCATTATTATACTGACGTGAAAATTATAGTGCTAATGTGGCATTCTATAATGCTAGTTGATAACATGACGAATGACATGACAAATCGATTAAATTGATAACTCAAACATGACATATATGTGGATTGTCACGTCAGCACCGTAGATTGTCACGTCAATATCTTGAACTGTCATATCATATTGTAACGGTCAATGATAAAAATTATTATTCAAAAGGTCACATTAAATTTTTTTTATGAGTTATAGAACCACATCGAGAGAAAAAATAAAATAATGACCACATTAATTTTTAAAAAAATACATGGACCTCTAATACATTTTTTTCAATAAATAATTGATCGGGTTGTTACAGGGGTAAAATTGTACATCTATTTATTTATTAAAGAAAAAGAAGAAGAACGCAACAAATCGTCGCCGTGAAAGGAGAGGAAGCGACGGTGCCATATGAACCGTTTGATTTTGTTGGGGGGTTGTGGAACCCACGCCACGGATCCTCAGACCGGGAGAAAGAAACGAGCTTTTGTAGTCTCGGATTCTCAAGGCTCAAGGGGCAATGGGTCCCACCAAGAAAGGTTAAACGACTCAGAGTGGGGGAGGGTTAGGGTTTTGTGTAAGTCATTACGTGTTCAGATGAGAGATGCCTTTCAGAAAATATCCCAAAACAATTATGTGAATGAATTGTGTAGTGTGGTCCAAACGTCAAGAAGACAAAATTCAAAAAACAATGACTACCCTTTTTAATGTGAAAAGAGGACAGTTGAAAGGTGGTCAAGGGAAAGCAACAAACAGCAGCAATGTGGAATTAAATAATAATATCAATTATGAAAGACTTGACAAATAGTAAAAAGTAGACCATTCATAATGAATAAATTTCATAGTTTCTGCGTTCACATTATACAAGTCATAGGTATTGAAAGTCTTCAATTTTTCTTAGAAGAATTAATATAATTTCTTAACAGAAGGATTTTTTCGTAATTAACTCATATCAGATGTAAAAGGAAAAGGTAGCTTTTATTGGAAAATAATATTTTATACATTTTTTAAACAACATACCGACATAACACACATTTCTCATGTAAACGGATTGATAGTTGGGATGGAATAAGGATATAATATTAAGGGTAAATTGTTTAGTTTTAATTTTTAGATGCTATTAAATATATTTAAATTGAATAAATAAATAGGGACTAGAAATTGTTTAAAACGGAAGTTAAAAATTATAGGATCTAAAATATATTTAAATTTCAAATTTTAAGGGGTAAAACTTAATTTTACTGATTTAAAAACTTTTTTATTAATATGATGTAAGTATAAAATAATATATGTTCAAATATAACTCTCAATCACTTAGCATTGAACACTTATATCCCACGTATTCATGATATTTGAACCTGAAACCTCAAAGAATAACAACAATTTCTTTACCACCGAAGTTGATTTGTTCGTTCAAAAATTTAAATTCACTTTGTTAATCAACTTTTGATCGAATTTTGAGATCTCATATTCGAGTTGAAATTTATATAAATCAAGTGTAAGATTTTATATTATATTTTTGTTATATGTTAAATACAATTTTTTGTTCTTTATAGGTATAACTTATTTATTTTCATGAAAAAATAAATAATTAATTTTACAAACTAACTCAATTTTCTCACACATAATTTATAGTGAGACTCGATATTTAACATTTAAGGTATTAAAATCACATTGTTAATATTTATAAAAATTTATTAGTATAATTATTTGTACATGATTTATTAATCGATTAATTAAAATTAAAATTATAAATATTTATTATATTCAGTGGCGGAACTTGATGATAGAATTTGGGGGGTCAACTTAAAAATTTACAAAATTTAGAAGTTTAAATTAAAATTTGCAAAAGGTTTGAAGGGTTCGATTTACATATTTCAAAAAAAAATTGGGGTATAATTATAATTTTTGAAAATTTGAGAGACGTAATGAGAATTTTTAAAAATTATAGGAGAGATGTAATTAAGAATATTCACAAAAATTAAATATTAATATAGATTTCTAAATTTTGGGGGGTAAATTAAATATTTAAAAAGATTTAGAGTTCCAGAGTTTAATTTGTTTCAAATTTGAGGGTCAATGACCACTAATCTCTATTACCTTCCGCCACTGGTTATATTAACGGTTTTTTAATTCAATTTATTTCATTTATATTCTCAAATATTTATATTCTTTTGTACACAATATTTACAATATTTTGATATTGTTAAATATATATTAGGTTGTAGATTCGGATTATAATTAAATCCTGGGTTTAATGTGCTATATAAATGGGCTGGGCCCAATACAAATGTTAAAGAGATTTAGTTCTAACTATATAAATTAAATTAAATTTTTTATTTGACAATTTTTTTTGAAGTGAACAACAACTTTATTTTTAATTTTAAAAAATTGAGAAAACATATATAATATATTTATTTCATATAAAATGTTTTTATTATTTTTTATATTTAATTCAAATAAGATGAGTTTTTCAATTATGTTTATCAATTATATTTTAAGTCCTCGATGGAATTTTTATGTTCAAAGTCTCGAAATCAAATTGTCTTGATTTATATATAAGCCATGTTCAATATCCATCTTCCCTTTTAAGTATCACCAATTCGCAGTCCAAGTCAGAATTTTGATCCAAATATCTTTACAACTAAACATAATGAGAGAAGGCACTCGAACCAAACTAAACCGAAGCCAAGAAGAAGAGAGACGAGATGTGGAGAACCATAGAAGTTGCAACGGTTGAACATGCTGTGGACATGTCGCTGTCGACGACGGACATGTATCCGGCGGCGGTAGGTTCCTACGTTGTTGATGAATATAGCTTGATTCTTCCCTTCAACTTTGCTATGGTTGACAACGGCGTCTTCTGGTCGGGTTTCCCTGACCTGCTAACTTCTCTTTTCTCCAAAAACTGGACCTCCGCTCCATCATGTAAGACCAAAGTTAATTAGTTTGTTTTTTACTCCTACACTTCATTTCTGTCCCAAGTTAAACGTGTTTGATCAAACAAGTAAGTTTTATTTCTGCTCTTTTTCCGCAATGCAGATGTAAGGAATCACCCTTTTTTGATCCACTGTAATCGCGGGAAGGTTTGTGAAAATCAGTTGTACTTGTTCATCTATTGTTTCATACACGACCACATATGGCAAGACGTATTGCTTTGAGTTTTACGATGTTCTTATTTCTGTTGTTATTGTTGTTTTAAGCATCGAACCGGGTATCTGGTTGGATGTTTGAGAAAATTGCAGAGATGGTGTTTGTCGTAACGTGTTCGACGAATACGAGAGGTTTGCGGCGGCGAAAGCTAGGGTTTCGGGTCAGAGGTTTATGGAGTTGTTTGATGTTACTAGTGTCAAACATCTGCCCGTGTCTTTTTCTTGTTCCAACAAGTGAAGATTTAACCAATTAATGTTGTAGCAATGCCCTGTGTGTGATGAACACTGTTCAGATCTCCCTTTCCATCTATTACTCTATGTTTTCTACTTGTTTCTGCTGGGATATACAACAATTATCCAATTAAATATGTTCAAATTTTATCAACTTTTTAATAAAGATAAAATAATTTATATCAATAAAGGACAAAGAAAATACAATTGAGGGGCCCATTATTTTTATATAACAACCGATATCTGATCTATTGATCGATTAGTCAGTATCGAATATTGCATAAATAAGGACTTCTTTTATCATAATAATGATTCATCCTGAAATGATTCCGACCGACCTCAAAATAATCCACCCCATCCTATTGATAGGCCTAATGTATAGGTATGCATGTATTTGAAAATTATTGTTAGCTACGTCTATGTTATGCATACATTAATCCAGGCTTCCAGTGGACAAAGTTTTTCAATTCAGCATGTATGAGATGCATGTGCTTTTCTAATGTGGGGTGTGCTTTTGATTGTTCGGAGACAACAACAAATTATAATTGAACTCATCTCTTTATGGTGGGGAATATGGTACTTACAAAAATTTTCAGTAAAGAAAAATGAAGAATCCTTTTTATTAAATAATAATGGATTTCATTATAATTCCTTTCGTGGTGGTGTTTACAATAATGAAATCAAACACACACCAATGCCACTGAATCACCGACTTCCTTTCTTTTATTTCACGGATAGATTCTTTAAGCTGTTGCGATGGAAGAGTTGTTTCCCTGGCTTTCATGGCTTCAAATCTGGGTTCCTTGGCCTGAAATTTCAGCCCGGCATACAGCTTCATGTAGTCTTCAAACACAAATTTGGGGTACAATTGTTTCTTCTCCTCAGCTTCTTTCTCCACTAGAGCCGGTGCTGGGTGGATAACGGCGTCGCCACCAGGGTTGTAAAAAGAAGCAATCGACATGCGAGCTCCGTTGGTTTGGGCGATCACCCGATGCTCCACGCTCTTGTATTTGCCATTAGTGATCACCTCTAGCTGATCTCCGAGGTTGATGACAATGGAGTGACGCAAAGGTGGAACATCCACCCACTTGCCGTCTTTAAGAAGTTGGAGGCCGCTCACTTGGGCGTCTTGGAACAGCAAGATGATGCCGCCGGCATCGGTATGAGCTCGGAGTCCCTTGATTTTGTCGGGCGTCGGGCACGGCGGGTAGTTGCTAACTTTGGTCCCGAATGTCGGACCTCTCGTGCCGTGGAATGCCTCCTTTAAATACCCTTTCTCCAACCACAAATTCTCACACAACAAATCCAGTAGCTCCTCCGCTAGTTTCTCCAGTTTCAGTGCAAATTCCTTCATCACTTCCCTGTATTCATCGGCGAGATCTGGGATTTCAGCCATGTTTGATTCAGGGAGATGGCGCAAGAAGAAGGTGCTTTCCCAGTCCATATCAGTAACCTCGGCCTGGAGACCTTCAAGGGCCTTGCTTGCAACCAATTCCTTAAACCTGTGTTCCATGCATTTCTTGTAATACTCTTTTGTTAATCTCTCAACTGTGTCCAGGAAATCATGGGGGATCCCATGGTTCAGCAGCTAAAATACACACACAAAATAAACATTTTTTTTCCATCAGCACAAAAATTGACAGAAAACACAGCCATTAAAGCAATAAAGCTAAGCTAGCTTTTGAAGATACCTCAAAGAAACCCCAATTCTCACAGGCATCATTGATTTGATCCATGGTTGCAGTCCTCTCCTCGCCATTAAGCTTCTCTAAGTCGATCACCGGGAAAGTTGCCATTTTTTCTTACAAATCTCTCAAGTTTCACTCTTTGGCATATAATGTGTTTGATGCAGAGTTGATGAAAGGCGCGGGAGTATTTATAGAGGTTTAAAGTTAAGGTTTTAATGGTCTAAAGCTTCAGGTGGGGGTCGGTTTGTGGGCCACCGATATAATAATAGTACAATTGTGGAAAGTTAGATTAAAAAATCGTTTAAAACACAAATTAGATGGAGCCGATGTTTACTTTGACTAAGTTCGGGTTAAACACTAAAACTAAGACCTTTTGTTAAAACTACTAGATCCACGCTTGGTTATTCTATGCTACAAATTATTTCGGTAAAATACACAAATGGTCCTCAATATTGACATTAAAAGTTTTAAAGTTATAAAAATGATCCCTCAATTATAGTAAATTATTTTATTGAGTCTCGACTATTAAAGTTATAAAATGGTCACTCGGTCATTCATTCATTATGTTTTAAACTAGTCTTTTTCGTTAGAGAATTAACGGTCATCTGAATTGGACATTAACATACTAATTGAGATATGATAAATGTTTGAAATTACGACATCAAATTTTATTATAAGATGTTGACTGAACCATTTTATCAAATATGATAACTGATGATAAAGATTCTTTATAAACTATTTTTCTAACTACAAAATCAACCAAACCAAAGTTCCAACCACCATCGGACGTCCCATCATCGTATATCTATTTCTTGTTTTTGCTCGGCAATCGCGGGAAGCTGCTCTGGTCTTTCACGCAACCTCACACTCCTACGACTAAATTCAACAAACTACTGTTGTTTTGGACTTTTCACGTTATAAATTTAGGTAATGTTTTGAATGCAATTCCTTACCAGAAAGAGAAAAGAAACTTCATTGGCATTCTCTTCATTTTTCACGTTATTGGTGTTTTGACAAAGAAAATATTCAGCTTCATGTAATAATTTAATTACATTAAAAAGAGGTTCATGTAAGTCCATAAAGCTAAGATAACGCGTGACCGTATTTCCTGCTTAATTTGTCTAAAGTTTAGGTTAACCAGTTCTTAAAGTGGATTTTGGTTCCACTAAAACAACAAATTTGTAGTCAAACTCGAATTAGCGTAGCATTACTTTTCAAATTTAAGTCCTAAGAAGTAAGTTTTTTTATAATAAAGTTTAGGTCATAGGTGACTCCCCAGTTCAGGGTCACGACATACCTAAGATTCAGTTGGGATTTACATAAAAATTTACAGATTGTCCACTAAGAGTGACGGTCGTAGGATTCGAACTTGACCTTATAAACTCAAATTCTTAAATCTCAATCACTTGTACCAACACTCGTTGACATCCTAAGAAGTAAGTTAAATAATGATGTTAATAGGAATGAACACAATAATTCATGTTAGAGGGTACTAATTTAAGAAGATATATTCAAAATTTAAGGAATGTAAATTATGTAGTAAAAAAAATGTTAAAAGAATAGCCAAAATACACAATTTTAAATATTTTAGAGGGTCGACCACACTTGAACACTTTTCTCGGTCTATTCTTAGTAATGAAGAATAATATTTTTATTAAGCTAAGATAATTATAAAATATTATTCGTTCTAAATATTCTCAACCATTTGATAATAATCTTTCAATCACTCTTCCTGCAGTCGTTGATTTTTTAACCTAATACCTCTAGAAATAATAATCATTTATTTAATCATTAAAGTAATTTGTTTGCGTAAATACGAAAGAATGGTTTACTTAAAAATCTTCAAACTTCATGTATTTAACAAATACATAATACCGTAACTTAATCATTTTGGAAATAAAATTGTATTTTTTATAATTTATTTTTTAAATATTTTCACGTAATATTCATTTTTTTAATTTATTACTTGATATGCTATGAAATTTTGGATTTTTTTTTAATTTTGTTTCAACAAGTCAACAGTTGTATTGTATATTAAGCTGTGAAACGAATTCCTAACAGTCAACGTGCCCTTGCTGACTTTTTAGCTTACACACAGACTCCCTCGTTTTTTATTTTCTATGTTTTCCACTCAATTTTTTAATATTTTAATATTGTATTATAATAATATTTATGTTATTTTTAATTTGAATAAACTCACGAATATTTTAATATCTTATATTATTTAAATTTGGATCGTCTACAGAAAGCATATCATGTTTTATTACAGAAATGACTCATTGAATATGTTTTTATCTCGCTTTAAGAATATAATAATTGGAATATATTTAGTCCTAATAAATTTAATAATATTGGTCTAATTGCAGTTTTATCATCTATTTAATAAAAGTTAAAAATAGTTCTTATTCTGATATGTTAAAATTTAATCATAATATTTTAAAAAGGATAAACTAAGTAGTTAATTTTTATTAATATGTTACCTATAAATTATTAAATTACTAATTTTTACTAATTGCTCACATGCGAATTGATAATTTAAAAGCTAGGTAATTTAACGACAATACTAATTAATATTACCTAATTAAATTAATTTTTCAATATTATAGAATAGATGAATAAAATTATAATTAACCCCGGCAATATTTAAAACGTCATATAAATCCTGCGTTTTTACTCCATCAAGTCTCAAGAGCAAGCTATTGGGCTTGAATTTACAGTTTTATTTTTACAGACTTTGTTTAATCGATGCATTCCAGCTGGCAAAATTTTTATAGGTAAACTATGAGAACAATCCTCTTTGTTTTCGGTTTGACCGATTTTGGTCATCAATTTAAAAATTAAGGTACATGATCCCAACGTTATCGATACGTTCGATTTTAGTCCTTCAAACGTTAATTATGTTAACCCTTTAATGGAAGTATTATGTGGCGATTTAAAAATAATAAATAAATCCACATAACATATTAAAAAATCCCAAAAAGCTTAAGTTTCTTCTTCTGTTACATACAAACCAATTTTAACAAGCGACAAACAAAATTAAAATGAAATTACGATACACTGATCAAATCAACAAATATTCATTTGAACTTCCCTTGTTCTTGGCTCCGGGAAGACACATAATGTCAGACGAAGAACATGCTCGGAACCACCAGAAACGAACCCTTATAATGGAGCTGTCAGAAAAGTTGATTACTAGAGACCTTGAGGCCAAGATTGAAGCTGCCAAAGATACAAGAAAATTTGTTAGGAAATCATTTGGTAAGACACGTTTAAGTTCGTTGTTGTTGGTGTTATTTCGCCTCTTGTTTCAATGCTCATTTGTCCTAATCTCAATGCATGTCAAGCTTCTCTTCTTACTCTCCCTAATCTTCTTGTTAGAAATGAAAGGTCTCAATATTCTATGCTTTCTTTTTTATGTTTATATAACATATGATTTTGATGTGTTGTCTCTTGTCATTCTCATTTTGTGTTATCAGAAACAATGTCAATATCGTGACAATAGGGGATGTACTGTAACGTCCCAAAGTCTGGGTCAGTAGTCGGGTCGGTAATCAGGTGATTTCTGATAAAAATAATATTTTTAGTTTTTAAGATTATAAATATTAGCATTGAGTGTTTAAATGATTTTTGAAATATAAAATATGATTTTTAATAATAAATAATAAAATAAATATTTATTAAGTGACTAAATTGAATAAATTGAAAATATTGATTTTAGTGACTAAAATGTAAAAGGGTCACAAATCAAAATCCATGAAGTTAGTTTTACCAGGCTTGTGTGGTTGGATTTTCCCTTCAACTCTAATCGTAATTCTCATTTCCTTTTTTTAAATTTCTAGCTAGATTTTTCTTTTAAATTCTTTCTCATTTTTCATTCTTAATTTAATTAACCGTTTTTTTTTCATTCTCTCATCCAGACACTATTGTATTATTCTCCAAAATCCTTCCAAAATATCTTCCATGGCCTAAACTCTTCTTCTTCATTTATCTATTAATTTGTTGTTGTTTCTTAATTCTTTCATCTTCATCTTTTTTTTTCAATCAAGATTGTTTCGTTTTCTTTTCTTGTCATTTTCTCCTTTGTTTTTTGGTGTTGTCATTGTTGATCTTCTTCATCTCTTCGTCTTATTTTTCCATTAAGGTAAATCTCTTTTTTTGGTTCTTGTTGTGCTTCAACGATTAATATCCAATGTTTCGATGATTTTAATTAATCAATTCTTTCAAAAACGAGTTTGTGAAATAAACTTGATTTTCAGAGATATTTCATGTGCTATTTTTCTTGATCACTTTTCAAGGTAGGTTTTCTTGTGATTATTTAGATGTTTATGATGATATTATTATCATACCAAATCAGTTTTTCAATTGCATTTGATTTCGATAAGGAATTCTTCAAAACAAGTTTTATTTTGATGTTTTTGAAATCTTGGAGTTAATGTTAATCGATGTCATTTGTGAGTTTTTTTAGTTGAGTTTAGTTGTTGATATTAGTTGTTCTTGATCAGCTCTTATGAGGAGAAGTAATGTTGAATGAATCGGAGGCTTAGAAAATTGTTTCGGTAATTTCATTTCTTTCGCTCTGTTTTGAAAATAGTAAATTCTGCTATGTTTTGGATATGTTCTTGATGTGTTTTTTTTTATTTCCAAGGTGTTTAATATGTTGATAATTGAGGAAAATTGGTGCATCGTGGTTGTTAGTCGTTTGCTAAGTGTTTGGAAACGATTTCAATTAGTGAAAACAAAGTTGAGTGATTTTTATTCTTAGAGGATGATAAATGAAAGTGTAGCTTAGAGTAACTCTTTTAGCTTGAAATCTAGTACAAGCGAACTTAAATTTATGCCTATGATTGATACGGAATGTGATATTAAATGTGAATATTGGCATGTGTATTAAATACGTATCGCAAGTGATGCATAGTGATTTTGAAAGTCTATTTTGCATATATATATATATATATATATGAATGTGTTGAGAATGAGTATAACAACTTCACTATCAATGGATGAGTGAGCAACTTGATGTCCATATAAGGTTGATCATGAGAACCATTTCCGATAAGTGTTTAAAAGTGTATTTTGAAAGTGTATATGTGTATAAGCTATGCATAATTTGATAACCACTCTTGCAAACTTGGATTAAATGATTATTTGTTCTTATAGAGACCTTCGTATATGAAAGGCATGCATAGGAAAGAGTACTCTATGGTTTTCTATTTGTGTGTGAACAAAGGGTTAAACGAGGTAAGGTTGGTGCATTGAGAAATGTTCAGAGAAGATTACGGGGAAAGATTGGTTCGTTGAGTTTACTCCGAAAGTCGTGGTTTTGGATTAGGTGAGTCCGTAAATAAAAGAGAGTTGTATGAAGTCCGTTTATCTAATGAATGAGTTGTGTTTTGATCAAAAGGCCATTGATCTGAATGGAAATTATGTGTGACTTTGCCAAAAAGGTCATTGTGCTTGTGTGCATGTGATTTTCTCCAAGATATGTAAAGAAGAAAATCATGTGTATATTCTGGATTTTGTGTGCATTAAGTGAACATGAAAGTATAACATGATGGCATGAATGTTGAGGTAAAAATAAGTGAGTAGTGAATGCATATAGGAGCTTTCCTTTAGTTTTGAAGTGATCATGTCTAGAATGTTAGTTATTCATTGGACTTTCAGCTCACACTCGATGTTTAATACTTTTTCATAGGATTAATAGATGAGTCAGAGGCAAGGGGCAAGCATCTGGTGTGATCAAGCAAGGCAATATTAAATAAAGTGTATGTGGTTTGTTTTCATAAAACGGTAATGTGGGAGCCATTGGGACTTGGATGGTCTTTGAGATGTTGAACTTGTAATAACGTGGCATGTTAGTTGGATTCTTAGGTTTGAAATGAAGCATGATGTTGGTTTGATGGTATTGTTTGAGGATGTTGAATCCATATGAATGTGTAGTTTGAATACCAAATTGACCAAACATATTTAGGGTTTTTGTTATGTCCACAAGTTTGGAATCTAATGTACACTAATGTGTTCGGGTTATTCTTTATGATTGGGTATGGGGTGTTACATGCGCCTCCTCTCGCAGAGCTTCTCAAATTGCAAAACATTGGTATGAAGGAATTAGCCACAATGGCAATATTAACGCTCTCAGTCATTTTACCTAACAAGTTCGTCATTACATCCTCCGGAGCTGCACCCTTTCTGGTTCAAATCCTTAGCTCTGGAATTGTTCAAGGAAAAGTCGATGTCGTCACCGTGTTACACAACCTATCAATCTGCAAAAATAATTCGGTTCCAATTCTTGATGCTAAAGCAGTTTCCCCACTCATCAATCTCCTCAAAGAATGCAAAAAAATACTCCAAAATCGTTTCTTTAAAAAACGCAGCAAAATTAACAAGTTTAGCTAGCAAGCTTTAATGACTAATCACAGTCTATCGAAGAAGTTACATGAGTTTTAGAAATTTTTAATAAATTTTTATTCTACATCACCCGTTGCTGGTGACTTATGGATTTGTTTAATCTTTTTTAATTGTCACGTAATACTTCCGTTAAAAAGTTAACAGGACTTAACGATTGATGGATTAAAATCGAATGGACTGATACCGTTATGGACTAAAATTGAATGGATCGATAACATTAGGGATCATGTACCTTAATTTTTAAATTGGTGACCAAAGTCAATCAAACCAAAAACAACGGGGACTATTAGCATGGTTTACCCATTTTTATATTAAAAACTAGGGTAAACTACACTAGATATACCAAACGTTAAGCATTGTATCATTTATACCATTAAACTTTCAATTTTGTCAATTATGGCACTGGATTTGATTTTTGTTACAATTATACTACTGAATTGTTATATCGTTAACAATCGGATGAAAACAATATCATTTTGGTGAGGTGTTTATGTCGATATCCGTCAACCTCATTTTCAACTGTCAACCACGTCATCATATCGTTAACTATTTAATGGTTTAGTGGTATAATTGAAATGAAAATTAAAATTTAGTGATATTATTAGAAAATTAAAAGATAAATGGTATAAACGATATAATAACTAAAGTTCGATGGTATCTAACATAATTTACCTTAATAATTACTTTTTTATTCAAAAGTACCAAAATTTATTCCCTCTTCAACGCTTTTCTGTTTTCTCGCACCGGAGGAAAGTAGAAAATCCTTTCCCCTTTCCCATTTCCCAGCTTCTCTCTCTCCCTCCCTATATGCGTGTATTTGTCTTTCTCTCAATTTCCTTTCCTTCCAAGCAAACCCTTCATCTTTTCATGTTTTCTCATTTTCATCCTTAATCCGGTCTTCACCCGCAAATGCCTACATCAGAACCACCACAAACGCCGCCGCCTCCAGAACAATCGGAAACTCAACCACCGGAAACACTTCTTGACTTGATCATAGGCGTTCTCTCTATCCTCCTCCTTTCTTCCCTTTCCGTTCGATATTTCGTCGGACGATGGCAAGTCGTCCGATCGAAGCTTTGCACTCTTCAATCATCTCTTTCATCGATCTCAGAATCTCCCCACTGGAACGACAACTCTTTGCTCCACACTCTTTTCCCTTCTCTTCTCGCCACTCTCCAACGTTTAAAAGCTCTCTCCAATCAATGTACTCTATCTTCCTTCGCCGGCGGGAAACTCCTCTTGCAAAGCGACCTCGACATGGCTTCGGCTTCTCTCTCTAACCATATTAAGGACCTCGATTTGCTTCTCCGATCTGGCGTCCTTCACCAATCAAACGCTATTGTTTTGTCTCAGCCGGGACCTGGCTCTGATAAAGATGATTTAGTATTTTTCGTCAGGGATCTCTTCACACGACTTCAGATTGGAGGTATCGAGTTCAAAAAGAAAGCTTTAGAATCACTTCTTCAGCTTCTCAACAAGGATGAGAAATCTACTGCTGTGGTTGCTAAAGAAGGAAACGTTGGATATTTGATAAGTCTTCTCGAAGTTAACAGCCAACCTTTGATTCGAGAGCAAGCTGTTTTAGCGGTGTCGATTTTGGCTTCTTCAAGCGAAGATTCGAGAAAAATCATCTTCGAAGAAGGTGGATTAGGGCCTTTGTTAAGAATCCTCGAAACATGTTCCATTCCTTTAAAAGAAAAGGCCGCCATTGCTGTTGAAGCAATTACCGCCGATCCCGAAAACGCATGGGCAATTTCAGCGTATGGCGGTGTCGCCGTCTTGATAGAAGCCTGCCGATCTGGCTCCCAACCAACCCAAACCCACGCGGTTGGCGCTCTTCGAAACGTGGCTTCCGGGGAAGACATTCAATGGCGCTTGGTGAAGAGGGCGCCGTTCCAATTATTGTCCAGTTATTAGTCTCGGGTACCACCGCCGCACAAGAAAAGGCAGCCAATTGCCTTTCAATACTCGCTTCTTCAGGTGAATATTTACGGTCTCTGATTATACTAGAAAAAGGGTTGCCGCGATTAATGCATGTGATTCAATATTCATTAAGTTCAGATACAACTGAGCATGTCCTCCGTACAATCAGTTCCCTTTCAGTTACAGATTCCATTTCTAGGACTTTATCAACTTCAACAGTTTTCATTATCCAATTGGGTGAATTTATCAAGCACGGGAATGCGATTTTACAACAGATTTCAGCTTATTTGTTGTCAAAATTGTCAATTAGTGATGGAAACAAGCGAGCAATTTCAGCTGTATGGGTTCTTTGGTAAAGCTAATAGAATCTCCAAAGCCAGTCGGGTTACAAGACGCGGCGGTTCAAGCAATTGTTTCGCTATTGACTGTCCGATCAAATAGGAAGGATCTGGTTAGAGACGAGAAAAGCGTGATGAGATTGGTACAGATGTTGGATCCGAAGAATGAGGCTGTTTCCAAGAAGTACCCATTGATGGTGGTGACCGCCGTGTTAGGCGGAGGAAGCGGTGGTTGTAGAAAAGGCTAATGGCTGCCGGAGCCAGTGAGCATCTCCAGAGTCTGGCGGATATGGAAGTTACCGGAGCTAAGAAGGCGCTTCAAAGACTTGCTGGGAACAGACTCAAGACCATTTTCAGCCGGACTTGGAGGGAATAACCAGAAAAAGTTACTAACCCCCCGCCAACTAAGGTACGTTTCCCTTTTACGAGGCTATATTCGGAATTTTATTAATCTGCTAGGGTTTTCATCAACACTTGCTTTTTGGCGCGTCACCGGCTATACTCAATTTTAGCGCCATTCATTAGCAGTAAAAGTACGATGTTGCCCTTTTCTTTCTCCAGTTGTACTCACGAGAAAATTACGACTGAAACCATTGAAGCTAAAAGGAGTTTATGACTTTAAATTAACATTTAATTAATCAAATAATAATTTGATTACGAATTCTCTGAGTAAGTGCTTAGGTGGTAATATGTTAAAGGAAACGTTGTCGTTTTCCACTGCCTACGAACTAAATTAACGGAGCAGATTTTGTAGACACGTTGCCAGCACGTGAAAGTGATACTCGTAATGCATATATTAATTTAAAAATTCATAATATTTATAATTTCTTTGTTTTAAATTTGTAATAATTGCAGGAACAAGGAGTTGGTCTGGATATTTCTAACAGTCAGAATGACGAGGAACTACTTTGATGGAGAATGCAACCAACCATAAAACTTTTTTACGTCATAATATATCATCTAAAAAGGGTTTTTAAATATAAATTATTAATGCTTATCTTTTAATACTATAATGGTGACAAAAAAAACATGGATGCGGTTTTTAGGGAGTATCCTCGTTTTGTTTTTCTTTTAATTTTTAATTAATTAATTCACTCAAGGTGAACTGTAACAGGGGAAGGTATGATGATCGGTACGTCTATTATTTTTGGCATTAATAAACATTTTTCTATTAACTGATTTTTCTTGTAAAATTTTAGTGATTTTTTTTATTGTGCGATTGTTACATTTACTATTATCCTATAACAATTGATTGCAAATTGATGAATGATATTAATGTAAAATAGTGCAGTTTTCTAACTAGTGTAACAGAAAATGAAAAAATTTCATATTTCAATGGAGGAGAAGAAAAAAAGAGATTCAATGATAGGTATGGTTTATAAATATATTAGTAATTCGTGGTACGGTACAAGGTTAATTATGTATCAGATTTTTTTTTTATAAATAGAGATGTAATCTAAACATATGTGATATTGAATAAAACTTCTAACGTCGTCTAGACACCGAAACGTAAACACATTATCGAATCTCGTTAAAATTATTGTGTTTATCTTTATCCTATTCTCCAACAAAAGGCATAAGATGATTGATGCGTACATGGCTGTGCAAGCGGGCAACAGGAAGCGGACATGATGAATGATGGGTCATTTTCATCCGTCAGATTTGGTTATGATGGTAGTGTGCCCTTTTCTTTCACACTTTGTTTGCAATCTTGAAATGCATGTTTTACTCGGGAGGCAGACATGTTGATGAATTATCCGACGAACCACAAAATTAATAGGTCAAATAAAAAAAGCAAATACGGAGAATGACCTCAGGAATCTCAACAACAACAAAAAAAAGGTTGCCATAAATTTGGATCAATAAATTGGTTACTGCTAAATCATTTAATAATGTATATTTATTTAGTTTTTGTTTGTCAAATGATAAGGTAAATTAGGCGATAGAATCAATT